GGTAGACCCCCTCCCTCCTCAGGGTCCTGCCCCTTCACGTGTGTCCCAGGTAGACGCAAACGAGCCTGCCGAGGTAGCTGTAGACTCTGGTGCTGCTAGAGGAGCTGAGCCTGCGGGTGCCGGGTCTGCGGGTGCCGGGTCTGGGGGTGCTGAGTCAAGGGATGCTGAGACTGGAGGTGCTGAGCCTGGGGGTGCTGAGTCTGGGGGTGCGGAACCTGGGGGTGCTGGGTCTGCTCGTGTGGCCGCCGGCGGTACTTCGTTGAGGTGGGAGCCGCTTGTCAGAATCCCAACCATTAGACCATTAGGATAAAAGGGCTTGTTTCAGTAGCGGGTCAGTGCGCCCATAACCCCCCAGGCGAACGCGCCTGTAACCCTCTCCAGGATCAATCGGGCATCCACAGTGCAGATCTACTGACACCCCCCCACAATGGGAGTCCCAGGACTAAGCACAGCGGCAACGGCCTACATGTGCATACACCGGGAATCGAACCCGAGACCGCTATGATACCATGTCAGAATCCCAACCACTAGACCATTGGGATAAAAGGGCTTGTTTCAGTAGCGGGTCAGTGCGCCCATAACCCCCCAGGCGAACGCGCCTGTAACCCTCTCCAGGATCAATCGGGCATCCATAGTGCAGATCTACTGACACCGCTCTCTCCACAGGAGCTGCGCGTGTGGTTCGCCCGCCGCTGGAGACGTGCTGCTGAGTCTGAGGGTGTTGGCGCTGGTGTTTCTACTGGTGCTGGTGCGTCTGGGGGTGCTGCTGAGGCAGCTGGTGCTGACGGTCCTACTGGAGTTGGTGCTGCTGGAGCTGGAGCTGCTGGGGGTGTTGGCGCTGGTGTTTCTACTGGTGCTGACAGTCCTACCGGAATTGGTGCTGCTGGAGCTGGAGCTGCTGAGGGTGTTGGCGCTGGCGGTGCTGCTGGCGGTGGTGCTTCTGAGGGTACTGGAGTTGGCGCTGTTGGAGCAAGAGGTTCTGCTGGCGCTGGTGCTGCCGCTAGGGGTACTGGTGCCGTACTTGCTGGTTCTAGAGGCGCTGCGCGGCCGAGGCCGTACTTCGTTCCGCTCCTGGAGCAGGTTCTTGGTCTCCCGCCCTCTACTGGTCCTGCTCCTCCCCTAGAGTGTCCACCGCCTGTCCAGTCGCAGTCACAGTTACCGCCCGCCTCCCCTCTACCTGCTCCTTCTCCCTACACTGGTCCTACTGGAGGTCTTGCTGAGCGTCGTGAGCCTGCGTCTCGTCCCGCGTCACCTGTTTGTGCTGCTCGCACTAGTGGTCGTACTGCGCGTCCGCGTCCTCCTGCGGTCCCCGGCACACACCAGATGGCACTACGTCCTTCCACTACTCCTCTGCGTGTCTCGTTGCCGTCTCCTCCAGAGTCCTCTCTTCCTTCTCTTCCTAACCCGGAGTCTGACTCCCTTCGTGCTGCTAGTCCTTCGGTCACGCGCCTTCTTGCTACTGTCGTCACTGACCCTTCCTTTGAGTCTGCTGCTGCGTCTGCTCTCGTTGCTAAGCTTGTCGACTTCGCTGCTCGCTGTCGTCTAGACTACGCTGCCAGTCTTGTTGCTGGGTCTGAGTCTGTCTGTCCTCCGTCCGTCGGGGGTGAGTGTGCTCTTAGCACGGACGTCCTTGAGGACAGGCAAAAGGAGTTCCAGTGCTTTGCGGCTGCTTTGCCCCATCTCGTGTCCATGCTGATTGCCCCTGAGGGAGACCCGGATGCACCAGACATCCCGACTCCTCGATCGTACGCTGAGGCGATAGAGGGTCCCTACTCTTCTCAGTGGCAGTCGGCCATGGACGCAGAGATGGCTTCCTGGAAGTCCACAGGCACCTACGTCGACGAGGTTCCCCCACCTAGGGCGAACATCGTCAGTGGGATGTGGATCTTCAGGGTGAAGCGGCCGCCGGGCTCTCCGCCTGTCTTCAAGGCGCGTTACGTGGCTCGAGGCTTCAGTCACCGGCAGGGAGTTGTCTACTTTCAGACCTTCTCTCCCACCCCGAAGATGACCACTCTTCGGGTGCTGCTGCACATAGCCGCTCAGCGCGACTACGAGCTTCACTCTCTTGACTTCAGCACTGCTTTCCTGCAGGGCAGCCTGCACGAGGAGATCTGGCTGCGCCGCCCTCCTGGCTTCACTGGGTCGTTTCCTCCTGGCACCCAGTGGAGCCTCCGGCGGCCAGTCTACGGTCTCCACCAGGCGCCGCGTGAGTGGCACAACACACTGAGGACTACACTTGCGGCTCTTGGGTTTGCTCCTTCTACAGCCGACCCGTCGCTGTTTCTACGCACCGACACCTCTTTGCCGCCGTTCTACCTCCTCGTGTACGTCGACGACTTGGTCTTTGCCATTGCTGACACTGCTGGACTCGCCCACGTGAAGTCCGAGCTGCAGAAGAGACACATGTGCACAGACCTGGGTGAACTGCGCAGCTACCTTGGCTTGCAGATCACCCGGGACAGAGCACAGCGCACCATTACCCTGACTCAGTCACACATGGTGCAGCAGGTCCTTCAGCGCTTCGGCTTCACGTACTCCTCGCCTCAGGCCACTCCTCTGTCTACTCGCCACTCGCTCTCAGCTCTGCCTTCGGATGAGTCCGTAGAGTCGAGTGGCCTGTACTCAGAGCTTGTTGGGTGCCTCATGTACCTGATGACCTGCACACGACCTGACCTTGCATACCCTCTTAGCATCTTGGCACGCTATGTTGCTCCTGGGAGACACCGACCAGAGCACATGGCTGCAGCGAAGAGGGTGTTGCGCTACGTGTGCAGTACGTCGGGCATGGGGCTAGTGCTTGGAGGGCGACGTCGAGTAGTCCTCACAGGTCACGCTGACGCTTCTTGGGCTGACGACCAGGCTACGCAGCGGTCGTCACAGGGTTACACCTTCAGCCTTGGCTCCGGCTCTGTTTCGTGGCGGTCTACCCGCTCGTCCTCTGTTCTCGGTTCCAGCTGTGAGGCTGAGATCTACGCAGGGGCCATGGCTGCACAGGAGCTACGCTGGCTCACCTACCTGCTGACTGACCTAGGAGAGCCGCCTCGTTCTCCTCCAGTTCTGTACGTAGACAACAATGCCATGCTAGCCTTGTGTCGGGAGCACAGACTGGAGCACAGAACGAAGCACATTGCTCTCCGCTACTTCCTGTCTCGTGAGCTGCAGCAGCGTGGTCAGCTCCGCCTCACCTACGTGGCCTCTGAGGCCAACATTGCTGATATCTTCACCAAGGCCCTTCCGCCTTGTGATCATCAGCGCTTCTGTACTGTGCTAGGTCTTGTTCCTACCTGGCCTCACTTGCTCACTTCTTGATCTTGTTTGTATTGTCTTCTTTCTATACGTGCCCTTGCTTGTTTTACCTTTATATATATAACCTTGCATGTGAACTGGCCTTGTGGCCTTACTCTTGTGCTTGGACTGTGTGGTGACTTTGTGATCCACCTTGAGCTTGCTTTGCTTTGCTTGACTGGTCTTGTGACCACTTGTTCTCCCCCACTTTGCCTATGGGGGTGTGTCAGAATATTATAGCTTATACATTTGTGTAGGCTGTAGTGGGGTAGCCCATAAGGGGTACAACCCAATTAGGGTTAGGACTTGTACCCAATTGTTTCATAGTTCATTCATTCCATTCTCACTTCTCGTCAGCCTCCCGAATGGCATGCCGTTCGCGATGGGTTTTAGTTTTTTTTTTGCCCGCGGTCAGCAATTCTCCAACACGAATCCTCCAACACAGGGAGTTGGAGGATTTGTTTCCTCCAGCTTCCGTATGGACTGTCTTCGTTCTCAGGTTGCACTGTGGCGTACAATTTTTTGCGCTGGTTATTGTGATGCATTATCTACGTAAAATATTTTTCCTTACAAAAACACTACAGTCGTAACTGGCAGCTTATGTATTGCTGTTGTGAGTGTTTTTTCTTGGGCCATATCGAATCGTTTTCTAAAGCGTAACTGTAACTGACTTCGTTCACAGGTTGCACTGTGGCGTACACTTTCGTGCACTGGTCATCGTGATGCATTATCTACACGGGAAAAGTGCATTGATGACAGGTTTCTGGATGTCATTGCTGGTTTAATTGGTTGATTTATTGTGTAGCCAATAAGCCATTGCCACATCTGCGTTGCGCCGGCCGCCACACGCAAGTATCTCTCCCGCCTCTGACTGTTTGCCAAATCCCTGTCACGGCACCGAACCATCCGCCTGCCCGGTTGTGCGCTGCCACCGCGGAACATTTTGCACTCCTACTGCAATGAATGAAAGTTGGCAACTTTTAGGAGTCAACGCATGATCACACTGCGACTAAACTTGCACCAAATGTCGCCACCTGCGGACTAGCGGCTGCTTGTCGGGGCGCGGTCTGCGTAGCTGGTTTTGTTTGAGGTAGGTTGGGTTGGGGAACTTCGAGTAGGACGCCAAACGTTGCCCTTGACGGTCGACGCAAGCTAGAGGAGTTGTTGTGGGCTCAACAAAGCAAGCCCACCTTTGCCTTCATTCATACCTCACCTGTTGATCCCTCTCACTCATCCGTCTTCTCCATCTATTTGCCGAGCCCATACATCTGCATTAGGTTTGCGATCACCTTTCTGGGACTAGGTTGTTGCAACCGTTCAAACTCGCGCCGCGAACTGCTCAATTAACGGACTTTCCTCTTTGTCACACGCCTCTGAGTCAGAACAGCGTGACATTCTTTCCATTTGCGAGCATGGCGACCCGTCATTCCAGTGATGCAACATCGGGACCAAGCAACAGCCACGATGCAACTCACGAAGTAGTTTCCCCAATTCCCGATCACCTGACCGCCACCACCAGAGCCGGCGAGTCTCGCATCCCGCTATATGCGGCGACGACGCACAGCAACGGGCTTCTGGGGCTCAAACTCGCCGCGGCGCTGCCATTGCCGCGAAACGCGCACGGACTCACACAATTGAGGGAGCGCGGGGAGAAGCTGCACCAGCAGCGACTGTCGCCCACCGGGGACTCCGTCGACGCCGTCGCTCCGTCGCCCATGTCGCCCACGCGCGTGGTGGCGACGTCGCGCGTCAAGTTCGCAGAGCAGGCGACGCCGTTATCGGCGCCGTCTAGGTCGTCGTCGCAGCAATGTGCGTTGGAACGACCACTGGTGCTAGCAGGAATGGCCCACGCGCACGCGCTCGCGCACGTGCACTCCAATTCTCTCCGCGCGCTGGAGGAGCCGACGGCGGAGATGGACATTCTCGTGCGCGAGTGCCCCCTGCCTCAACCGCAGGTGACGGCGTGGGGACCGACCGCAGCAGCTGCCGCATACTTCAACCACGGTACCGTCAACTTGAACGGCGGAGAAGGCGCGCGCCTGAGCCTACACCCGCCGCAGCCACTAGCGGCGCTGAAGCGCGCGACGAGCGGCGCCGTGACGCAAGTGCGCGCGGCGGCGGCGAGCGCGGCGGGGCGCTGGTCGGCGACGGTGGCGGGTGTGGCGGCGCGCGCGCAGGTGAAGGTCAAGCTGCGCCTGAGCCCCGCCGCCAGCCGTCTGCTCAGCGGCGCCGTCGCGGGCGGTGTGTCGAGAACAGGTACAGGTTCGAACAAACGTGGCACTTCGGGTGTAAACCCCTCATTTGAAAGTTGCTCGGATGCGCTTCGTGCGTCAATCGGGTAGCTCCGCCGAACATCGCCAACGGTTTTATCGAAGTGGCGGCCCGTTTTTTATTGTTTTTTTTTTTTTTTTTTTTTCTCCTTCTCGAGGAGAATCGACGGCCATTTTGTTCTCGTATAAGAGCGTGGAATTTGGCGGGTTGCTAACGTCTCCCCCTTTCCCTGGCACACGCTGCCTTCTCTCCCAACCCCCGTCCCCGCATGCTCTCCGTCCTCCACCCTCGTTGCTCGTTGCGGCAGCGGTGGCGCCACTCGAGACGGTGCGCACGCACATGATGTGCGCGGACGCGGGGAGCGTGGCGGCGAACGGCAGCATGACGCGCGTGTTCAAGTGGGTGGTGGAGAAGGAAGGGTGGGCGGGGCTGTTCCGCGGCAACGCCATCAACGTGCTGCGCGTCGCGCCCAGCAAGGCCATCGAGGTGAGCGGCCGGTCGGCGCGCAAATGGTGTCCCTAGTGGCTTCAGAGAGGAGAGAGGAGGGCTTGAGCGCCGCCACCAGGGTTGAGAGGAGAGCTTGGGCTTGGGCTTGAGGGCTTGAGGGCTTGGGCTTGAGGGCTTGAGGGCTGAGGTGATGTGACGTGCAGTGCGTCCCACAAGCCTCCTCCGCCCCGCTGAGATCCAACGCGTGAGGGTGCTATAAACGTGATGCTGGCAGGGCGACGGAGTGTCGAAGAAACAGGGTGCGGGAAGGTCGAGCAGACCGCAAGAGTACACTAGCCGTGGCTTGCAATCCGGCTGCTCTTCGTTCGCTGTAGAGTCAAATCTCATGCCATTTTTTTCGCAATTCATGCCTCTCATTTCCGTGTTATAACCTGCATCTTAGCTCCATCCCTCCTCTCCACTCTGCCCCTACCAACCATCTTGCCCCTCCCAACCAGAACCCCAAACCCTTTCTGTGCGGCCTCCTCATTCATTCCCGTTCCGTGCCGCCTCCTTGTTCTTGTAATGCATGTGTCGGTCGAAACCCACCCACAAACTCCTCGCAACCCCCTTTTACCTTCCCCCAACCCTCAGATGTTCACCTACGAAACAGTTAAGCGTGCGCTCACGCCCACGCCAGGCCTCCCCGCGCCGCTACCCTTCCCCCTTCCGCTGCCCATCTCCTCTATAGCGGGCTCCTCTGCGGGTATAGCGTCCACAGTGCTCATGTACCCGCTAGAGCTTGTCAAGACGCGCCTCACAGTCAGCCCGCACCTCTACCGCGGCTTCTTACATGCTTTCCACCGCATAGCGCGTGAGGAGGGCGTGGGGGCGCTGTACCGCGGGCTGGCGCCGAGTGTGATGGGCGTGATTCCTTACTCGGGGGCGAATTTCTTTGCGTACGATGCGCTGTGCACGGCGTATAGAAAGGCGGCCAAGGTGAAGCAGATTGACCCGTTGACCACGCTGCTTATTGGCTCCACTGCTGGGTGCTTTGCTGCTGCCTCCACGTTTCCACTGGAAGTCACCAGGAAGCAGGTATGCGGCGTCTGTAAAATGCTCGAGAAAAACCGAAGCATAGTTTTTGCAATTGAGGTTCTTGTATGACATGGTTCTTGGTTTTCACTCTCTCTCCCAACTTCTGCCTCTAATCTTTCCTATCTCTCTCGTTCATCCCTCCCTTCTCCCTCCACTGCAGCTACAAATGGGTGCCACAGGTGGCAGAATGGCATACCGGGGCATGCTGCACTGCATGCGGTGCATCGTGAGGGAGCACGGGGTGAAGGGGCTATACAGGGGGGTGGTTCCGTCGTGTGTTAAGATGATGCCAGCTGCTGGCATCTCCTTCATGTGCTACGAGGTGCTCAAGCGCATGCTCATCGAGGAAGAGAGGGCGGCATAAAAGAGCTGTGACTGCTGGCACGAAGGGCATTCTTCTGGTTCCTTAATTGTGAATCAGGAATTGAAATACAGTGTTACCATACCACAGTCATCCTCTGGATATACTCACCGTCAGTTAATTCGCACCCATGTGCGGATCTGGATAGCAGGCCATGCCACAATGCCTTATTATACTGGAAGCATGAGTAAAAATACCTAATCCTAGCAAGTACAATCACAGATGTCACCTAGCCAACCAAGTGTAACCCCAACAACACAAATGCACTTTGAAAACTTGGGTGTAATTGCAGCGTGGTAAATGGAAGGTGGTGGACTTGAAATACTATACATGGTAGAGAGGATGGCAATCGGAATTGCCGATTTTTCACAATTTGTAAGTATGAATCTATTAGAACCGCTGGCTGCTTCGTGTACAGTAACACGAACGATTTGTACTGCGACCCCAGACAGCCGCGCATCACGAGAATGCCAGGAGCAACCACGGTACTGACCAGTGCCAGCGCAGATGGCACGGCACGCCATCCACATTTGAGTCAGGCGCAGCGTGCGTGAGGCGAGGCGAGATGAATCCTCATCATCCAAGCACGCTGTAGTGAGCAGATAGGAGACAGAGGAGCGCTGCCGACGAGCGTGCTCGAAACTCGTTGAGTTTGGCACACCGTGCCCGTTACGTAGCTCTACCCTCCATCCTCGTTATTGGATGAATTTGGCCGGCTCAGGTAGCGCGCCGCGAAGTCAGTCTGTTTCTTCTTCGGCGTCTCAGGATTAGTTAGCAGGCAACTAGGTCGCGGCGAATCGCGGAGTCGAATCGCGGCGATTAGAACAGCTGGCAGCGGCGAATAAGCTCGGCGGTCGACGTGGACAGCTGACGATGCTCAAGGGCCATCCTAATGCAGCGGGCGGAGCAAAGGCGGCGTCCACGTCACCGCCGCGGGAATGGCCTCTCTGGAGTGTCCACGTGGCACTGGCGGTGGTTATGGTACGCGAGCGAAACGAAACGGGGAATCGACGGAGAAGAAGCGATTGAGAGTCGAATGGTGAATTGCTCGAATGTTGATGCCATGACGTCCATGACATGACATTGACGTTCAATTGCTGTTCTGCTTAGTAATCGATGTGACTTGTTTTAAATAACTGTTTCTGCTCCTCCACCCCACCACCTTCCTTCTGCTCTGCCTTCGTCCCACTCTTCATTTACCCTTCTCCTGCTTCCCTTCCCCGCCCCGTTTCCCCTCGCCCCGCCACCAGGTGCGCAACGGCATGCACCACGCGCTATTAAAGCCCAGCATAGGGCCCTGCCGCTCCTAGCCCTCCCGCTTATCGTTTCCCCCATTCCGCTCTCTCACTTCCCTCGCATCCCTCCACTCCCGCCCTCCCGCTCTCCCCTTCAACGCACCATCACCCCCGTTCACCCTCCACTTTCCTCCCTCTCTCCCCTGCCGCCTCCAAGGTAAACGGCGAAGCAGGCGTTGAGACTCACAAGTCAATCCCCGCTCCCCTCTCCCCTCTCCCCTCTCCCCGCTCCCGTCCCCTCTCTCCCATCTCCCCTCTCTCCCATCTCCCCTCTCTCCCATCTCCCCTCTCTCCCATCTCCCCTCTCTCCCATCTCCCCTCTCTCCCATCTCCCCTCTCTCCCATCTCCCCTCTCTCCCATCTCCCCTCTCTCCCATCTCCCCTCTCTCCCATCTCCCCTCTCTCCCATCTCCCCTCTCTCCCATCTCCCCTCTCTCCCATCTCCCCTCTCTCCTTTTCCCAATCCCTTCTCCCCTCTCCCCTCTCCATTCTCTTCTCTCCTCCCTCCCCGCTCCCTCTCCCTCCCCCCTCCCCGCCTAACAAGCTGAAGAACGGAGTGTACCACGTGCTGGCGAAGGGGGCGCTGGCACAGGGCGTAACTAACGAGTCGACTCACAAGCCAACCCCTCTTCCTTCTCCTCTACCCCTTCCCTACAACCCCCCTCTCCCCCCTCCCTTCCCCAACCCCCCTCTCCCCCCTCCCTCCTTCGCAAGCTGAGCAACGGAGTGTACCACGTGCTTACCACGAGGGCGCTGGCACAGGGCGTGTATGCGCTTGTCGACTCACAAGTCAACCCCTTCTTCCTTCCTCTCTATCCCCTCCCTCCGCCAACCCCCCTCTCTACCCCCCTCCCCTCCCCATGCAAGCTGAACAACGGCGTGTACCACGTGTTGGCGAAGCGGGCGCTAGCAGAGGGCGTGCATGCGCTCGTCTTCTGTGTGTACCGCGACGCCATTGCTCTGCTCGCCCTGCTGCCCGCCGCTGCCCTCACCGAGAGGTGAGGTGAAGTGAGGTGAGGTGAGGTGAGGTGAGGTGAGGTGAGGCGAGGCGAGTTGAGGTGACGCTGCCGGTGTGGCTGTGGTGAGGTGGATGCTACGTTTGAAAAGTGCCGGTGGCAGTGGTGGGAGGATGGGTGTGCAGGCAGGGCCGGGGAGGCGGTGGGCGTGCAGCAGCGGCTGCTGGGGTGTGTGCGCCGCCATGTGCTTGCATTGGTGCTCGCTGCTGGATGAGGGGCGAGCGAGGCTTGGGATGGGATGGATGGGTTCGTGTGTGTGAGGTGCGTGCGTGCTCGCGTTCTCTCTCTGCTCTGCACCTGTGGCAGCATAGCGTGAGTGGGATGGGATGGCTCGGTGACGGTTGCGAGAAGAGTAGCGGTTGCCGGCAAGGCGAGGAGAGCGTGTGGGAGCGGCACGCAGGCAAGGAGGGGAGAGAGAAGAGAGGCGTGAGCGACCTGAACCATGAGTCGCACCTTGGCATGTGCGCCTCATTCAATCCGTCTCACCTCAACCTGCCTTCCCCGCCCTGCTCTGCTCTGCTCTGCTCTGCTCTGCTCTGCTCGCATGGCTGTGCAGGTCCCAGCATCATCTCATGTCACCCAAGCTGCTCCTACCCTTCTTTCTACTCGGCCTCACAGGGTAAAAGCTCTCCTTCATCTCCTCGTCCCCCTCTTCGCCCCCCTCTTTCTCCTCCCTTGCCATCACCCCTGCCCCTTCTGTCCACTTCTCCGCTCGTTTCCACGTTTTCAACTTGCAACGTCTCGTTGTCTCGCGGATTTTCTCTGCACGCACATGTGACTCTTCCCCCTCTGCACGCACATGTGACTCTTCCCCCTCTGCACGCACATGTGACTCTTGCCCCTCTGCACGCACACGTGACTCTTGCCCCTCTGCGCGCCATGCGGCAGATGCAAGAGTGCAAGCCCCACAATACACTTGGCCGCATGCATGGCACGCCGATTCATCCCACCCATTCCTCATGCTCCATGCTCATGCAATCCTTCCCTCTCCGCACATACATCACCTCACTGCACCGCTCTGCACCGTATCCTCCTTCCGCACTTCCCTCCACCTCTTCACAGCATCCTGGGCAACCAGCTGCTGTTCCTGGTAGGGTTAAACCTCACGGGCCCCACCACAGCAGCGGCACTGCAGCCGTCCATCCCCGTCTTCACACTCCTCCTCGCCCTGCTCCTCGGGTAACGCCCTCTCCCTGCCGCACTTCCTCCCACCCACACTGCCATGCCCGCCTTGCTCCGTCCACCTTCCCCCTCCCCCCTTTTCCCTTCCCTGCAGCACCTCCCCCCTCCTTCCTCCGATTTCCTCTCTGCGAGCGCTGCTGCGCCCCGCGCTATGCAGTCTGGCCTTACTGACCCTGCATAATCTTCCCACAGCAGTGCACTCTCTGAACCTGCAGCAGCGTGTTCCTCACAATTCTCACGGCACTGCACCCCGTGCTCCTGAATCGACTCAAAGTTCACCTCGAAATTCACTGCTGGACCGCTCTGCTCCCCGTGCCGTGCCGTGCAGCCTGGACTCCTTGAACCTGCAGCACTGGCGCGACCAGGTGCGCCTGGTGGGGCTGGCGCTGTGCGTGGGTGGGGCCGTGCTCATGGCAGTCTTCCGCGGCCCGCTGCTTCTGGGGGAGGGCGGAGAGCAGCAGCAGGGGGACACTGCGCTGCTGCAGCAGCAGGCCGCACTACCGCCTGGTGTTGAAGGGGCGGGTGGTGGTGCTGGTGATGGGGGAGTGGGAGGGGGAGGAGAAGGGTGGGTGGCGCCAGGGTCAGTGGGAGCATGGAGCATGGGGGTGATGTCGCTGGTGGGCAACTGCATGAGCATGGCCGCCTATCTCACTATCCAGGTCAGAGCAGGGCGGGGCGGGGTGGGGCAGGGCGGGGCGGGGCAGGGCGGGGCGGGTCGGGGCGGGGCAGGGCAGGTGAGGTTAGCTCAGGTCAGGTGAGGTCACGTGAGGTCATGCGAGGCCACGTCCATTGCATATGGCACTCGTGAACATGCACTCATACCATTCCCTCTGGGCGCTCCTCTCGCCACCTGTGTGGAAGTTCTGCTCTCACACTCATGGTTGCCATACGTCTCCACCCTCCCCCACTCCAACCCCCTTCCCTCTTCCCCATATGCGTATGCCACGTGCATCTCTGCTGCCTCGCCTCACCCTGTCCGTGCTCTCCTGTCCTGTTCCTCATCATTGCATTGCCTCCCTCTACACCACCTGCCTCACTCTCCCTCCCCCACCTCCCCACCCCCACCCTCATCTCCCCCCCCACCTTCCCACTGTGCGTGCAGGTGCCGGTGTTGAGGCGCTTCCCGGCGCCAGTGACAGTGACGGCCATGGCGTACGCGATGGGCGCGCTGCTCATGCTGCTCATCGCGCTGCTCTCCTCGCCGCCCTCCTGGGTCATCACCGGCTGGCCCCTCGTCGCCGTTGTCTTTGCGGTGCGCTGGGGGGAGAGAGGAGAGGGGGGGGGGATTAGGGGGGAGAGAGGAGAGGGGGGGATTGGGGGTGAGAGGGAGAGAGGACGGGATGGGGAAATTGAGGGGGAAGGAAGGAAGGGAGCAGGGGGGGGTGAAAGTTTGGAGGGAGAGGGGTGGGGGTGGTGAAGGTGGCGTCTGTCTGTCCTGCACTGAGAGAGTACGATCTCGTAGTGGGCTGTGACGGGGGGGGGGCACGTTATGGTGGGTGGTGTCTCAGCTCAGCGACATGGTGGGCCTGACCTCACCCCACGTGCTGTGCTTCTCTGCACTTCGGCCGCAAGAGCTGCCCTTTCTTCATTCTGTTCTGAGCTCTGTCGACCCACGAATTTGTTGACGGCTCCTGTCCCATGCGTTACATTGCTGCTCTTGCCATGGGGAGTTTGTGTGGAGTGCAGTGGAGGGGGGTGAGTGTAGGCCGGGAGGGAGGGATGCCTCCAAGGGGGGATTGGAGAACTCTGATGGAAGACCTGGGTTCACCAGGGCCTCACAACACTGTCACTCACTTGCACTCCCTCTCCCTCCCCCCCCACACCCTCCCTCCCCACACCTTTCTCCCTAACACCCTTCCCCCCCACACCTCTCCCCCGCTCACCTCTCCCCCTTCGCCTCTCCCCCGCTCACCTCTCCCCCTTCGCCTCTCCCCCGCTCACCTCTCCCCCTTCGCCTCTCCCCCGCTCACCTCTCCCCCTTCGCCTCTCCCCCGCTCACCTCTCCCCGACGCACGGCAGGGCGTGGTGACATCGGCGCTCAACTACGCACTGATGACAGCAGCCAACAGGCGGGTGGGGCCGGCCACAGTGGCGCTCTACAACCCGCTGCAGCCCGTCGCCAGCGCTACGCTCGCCTACCTCTGCCTAGCCTCGCCCATCTTCCTTGGCAGGTCACCCACCCACCCACCCACGCCCTTCCTTAGGCGTGTCTAAAGAATCACCCAGGAGCTTTATGCGCCTCAAAAGTTGCCGCGCTTTTTTTAGGTGCCTCAACAACAGTTTCAACTCTCTCCTGCGTGCGCCTCGTCTCCCACAGCTTCCCCGGTGCACTCTCCTTCACCTTCTTGCCCACTCTGCCTCTTCCATTCTTGCCCACTCTGCCTCTTCCATTCTTGCCCACTCTGCCTCTTCCATTCTTGCGCTCTCTGCCTCTTCCATTCTTACCCACTCTGCCTTTTCCATTCTTGCGCACACTGCCTCTTCCATTCTTGCGCACTCTGCCTCTTCTGAACCCACGTCTGCACGCATTACTTGAAGCACGTGGATCCATGCCAGTGCACACAAGTGTGCGATGTGTTGTGCCAGAGCGAGCAGCCATCTGCTGCCACACACAGCTGTGTCATACGGTATGAACCTTTGGGCGTGGCACCCAGGGTTGCAGCAACAGCGGTCCAAAAACATCCGATTGGTCACACACACTCTGAGCAGAAGTTGCGAGGGTGTGTGGCAAATACATCTTAGTGCAAAGAACCATCATTGAAGTGCAAGTGGTTGGGTTATCTTGGGAGGGTGCGATGTTGGCAAGCTGGCAAGTACTACAACCACAGGCTCTCCACGCCACGCCCTCCCGCGTTGCGATGCGCCACTGCAATGCAGCAGAGCAGAGGTATGAACCGCAAGAGGCCCTGCAATGTTGAGATGAGGCGATGTGAGCTCTAGATGCGAACTTGCATTCTCTTCATTCTCCTATACGTTGGTCTGTTGGCATGGGGAACGTTGCAATAGAAGTCTCTGTGACAAAACTGAAGCAGCTCTGTGCTTATTTTAGCTCCGTAATCAGCGGGCACAGTGAGAAGCTTGCCAACATTGATTGCACAAGTCGTGCAGGGTTTTCCTGCAGAGCGCCTCTCTCTGAGCAGATAAATTGAATGGAAGGATGCTTCACAGCTGCTGCCCTTTCAGTCACACGGCCTCAAGGTTCAATGACGGAACCTCGATTCTAGGACCACATTCAATCCTTTTCAAGCAGTAGTTCTTGGTTGGCTTGATGTTTTCTTCAGATATTTTGTTGCCATATCCGAAGGGGCTTTTGGCCGAGCGGATATTTTCAAACTAGCCTGGCGTGAGGCTGTGCAATCGTTACCCCTGCGGCTTTTTTGGGATGCTGTTGCGCCCCCGTGCCACTCCCGGAACCAACCCCAGGAATTTCTTGCAGCACATGTTGTTGAAGCTCTAATCTAATGCGTGCACTTTACAGGTACTGGTATAGCGATACACGTGTAAGCTTGTTTGGGGTAACTTATGCGGGCTCGCATAAACTGCAGCATCCATGGGTGTTCAAGCTGTGTGGGTCTTGCAGACCGAGGTATACGGTTATACCCAGCACTTAAATGCCTGATACCAGCTGTTCATCTTGTATAGTTGGTCCTTCACTCTCTTCGAACCACTCATTAGTTTGCTTCTTTGGGGGGGTGCCTGCTGGTTTGCCATTGGCTGCAGTGTCATCGGGGGTTTCCTGGTCTTATCCGGCCTGTACCTGGTGGTATGGGGACCCAAGGGCCAGGAGCTCAGCAGCACCCATCACCATCACGCTCCTGCTGACGATGCTGCCCTCGCTGCGGTTGGAACACCGGTGGGTCAAGAAGAACCGGAAGCTGTGCTTCTTTTAGACATGCAAACAGAAGCAAGCCAAGGCGAACCCACATCCTTGTGACAGTTGATTCACGTGTCATAGCATTGCCTTGTGATGTATGTTACTCCAGAGGGCCAAACATGCACCTTCTCTATCTATTCTATCGTGGGGAGGTATAGCAATTGTTGGCATTGACAATTATTGTTCCACATAGTGAGCGGTTTCGCTCTCAACCTGTAACAGGGTCTTCTTCCAGTTACGTTCGTTGATTCGAATAATTACCACAGATGTCATGTCAGTTGTCTCAACCAATACGGTAAGCGAATGCAAAAACAAGCATCAAATATTGTAGGATGAGAAGTGTCAGCAGGAAAAAAAATCCAGCGCTTAATGTCGGAATATCCCTGCCATGTTGCTTCCCAGTTGCACCCCGTAGTCCTGCTCACACGTTTCTACTGATTGTTGTGTCGCTCTTCCATTGCTGCTGTCAAGCATCACTTACCACTCCTTCCCTTGCGCATCACCCCTCCTTTCTCTGCCGTGCTGTCTTTGTCTCCACAGTGATCTCTGCACGTCTACTCACTTGCCCCCTCTGGAGCAGGCTGCGGTCCCATCGTGCCTGCCTCCAGATTCGTTAGGCTCCTGGTCCTGGCCCGTGCAGTGTTGGTCACGTGGTCACGGACAAGCCTGCCTTGCTGGTTTTCCAGCACCACGACTCCTGACTCCCTGGCCTCCACCACACGCCAACGCTCCTCACTCAGGCCCCTGTCCAGCACGTTCTGCCTGGCCGTGCGGCGGTAGACCACCTGCCCTTCCTCTGGCTGCCCCCCCCCGCAGCGGCCTCTCCCCTCCCTGCCTCTGCTGATAGCGCTGCGCATCGCGCAACTGTGCCACATGAAGGTTCTCCAGAGCTGATGGCAGCAACGCTCGCAGGTAATCTCCGCGGACCTTGGCCAAGCCCGCCCACAGTTCTGGTGTGCCCGCCGTAACCACCTCAGTCAACACCCTGGGCGCCCCTACCGGCAGGATGGGCTACCTGCCGTACAGCAAATAGTACAGCAAGACGTCGCGCAGAGCGGCCTCTTGCTGAACCTATACCCTGCTGCCACCCAGTGCAGGTCCGTGTCCCAGTTCCTCCTGTTTGCTTCGCCGTAAGCGCGCAATCCTCGCTTCAGGGTCTGCACCATCTGCTCCGTTAACCCGTCTGCCTGTGGGTGATAGCGGGAAGTTCTCCTGTGAGTGATGCCGATCGCTGTCAGCGCCGCATCAAACTCTCCCCGAAACTCCGTGCCTTGATCCGTCAGGACCTCGCCACAGGCGCCCATCCTGGTGAGCACCTGTTCGGTGAACGCCTCTGTCACCAGAGCGGCACTCTTGCTGCTGAGCGCCCGCACCTCCACCCACTTGCTGACGTGCTCGATCATGACCAGCACGTACCGTTTGCCGCGCCTGCTGAGGGGCAGTTCCCCTGCCATGTCCAAAGACCAGCGGAAGCCCAATCCTCTAATGGGCAGCGACTGCAACTCCTGGCAGCTCTGAGCCAGTTGTGCCCTGTTCCTGTCGCATGCCTCACACTGCTCCACAAACTGCCGCACCTGCCTTGCCAGGCTGGCCCACCACCAGCCCGTGTTCACCAGCTGTGTGGTTCTCACGTGACCGTAGTGGCCGAGCTGCTGGTGCACGCGGCGAATGATTCCCTCCCGCTCTGTTGGGGCGGGGACCAGCTTCCATCCTTCGCGTGTGCGGAGCTGGACCTGTCCTGCATACCAGCGGTAGTGCTGGCCACGTGCCCGGGCCCCCTCGGAGATGACCTCATCGGCCTCTGTCTCTCGTCGCAACCACCTGAGGGTTTCTAGATCCGCCCATATGTCAGGCGCATTCCTGGCCTCCTCCTATCTGCCTCCCTGCTGCTCCACTTCCCGTGCCAGCGCCACCAAGCTGGCCACAGGCTCCGCCGATGGGGGATTGCGGGATAACCTGTCCACATGCTGTAGGGTACGTCCCGGCCGATGCTTGATGACGAAGTCGAATTCCTGGAGGCGCATGGCCCAGCGTGCATTGCGCCCCGTCGGCATGTGATTGCTCATGAGCCACAAGAGCGGCTGATGGTCTGTTACGAGAGTGAATTCTTGCCCCTGCAGGTACACCCTGAAATGCGTGACTGCCCATACTGCTGCTAGGCCTTCCCCCTCGTAGGAGCTGTAGTTCGCCTCTGCTGCGTTGTAGCCGCGGCTGGCGAAGGCCACCACGCGTTCTCCTTCCTCAGTCCGCTGGCAAAGCACCGCTCCCATGCCAGCGCTGCTCCAGTCCGTGTAGAGGGTGAACCTCTCATCTGGCCTGGGCAACTGCAGCACTCGTCCCGACTTCACTGCTTCCAATAGTTTCCGCAGTGGCCCCTGCTCAAACTTTCCCCACTTCCACGCCACGTCCTCACGGAGCAGCTGATTGAGCGGCGCGGCCCGCTTACAAAAGTTCGGAACGAACTTCTTGTAATAATTCAGGAAGCTCAGGATGGCCCGCAGTGTAGTCCGACTGTTTCGCACTGCTAGTCGATCTAACACCGCCACCTTCGCTTCTTGGATGCTCATGCGTCCTCTGCACACTCTGAAGCCCAAATACTGCACGGTCAGCGAGCCAAAGTGACACTTTTTGGGGTGACAGGTGAGCCCTGCGTCCCTTATGGCTGCCAGCACTTGCCTGACGTCCTCCACGTGGTGCTCTCTAGACGAGCTGAACACCACGACATCATCTATGTAACACGCCGAGCAGTGTTGTAACCCCCGCAGCACGTAGTCCATAGCCCTCTGAAAGATTGCGGATGCATTCTTTAGTCCGAAGGGCATGAAGAGCCATTTGTACAGCCCGTCGGGCCCATGAAACGCGGTCTTCCGCACATCTCTTTCTGCAATCTTGATTTAATTGAAGCCCTAGCGCAGGTCTAGGGTGTTGAAGACGCAGGCTCCTTGTAGCTTGTCAAAGATATCCTCAGGGGTGGGCATGGGGTAGCGATCTGCCACCGTGAGCTTGTTGAGGTCGCGGTATTCACCACATATTGGATTGGAGAGGATGCCCCCTGTCAGGTCCTTCCGCGCCGCCACTACTGTCGCCGCTGCATATTCCGACGCCGACGGTCTTATCAGTCCCGCTTCCTTATCAGTTCTCTGCATTTCTCGGTGCTCCCCGTGTATCAGCGCAAGCGGCGTATGAGTCCCGCGGGGGCGCGTGGCGGTTTTCTGCCGCCACGCGCTCGGGGCGCGTGGCGGTTTTCTGCCGCCACGCGCTCGGGGCGCACGGCGGTTTCCTGCCCGCCGCGCGCTCCCGGGGCGCGCGGCGGTTTCGTCGCCCGTCGTGGCGCCCCGGGGGCCCGCGCGCTGTCCCCTCCCATCACCCGTCGTGGCGCCCTGGGGGCCTGCGCGTCGCCCCGCCTCCCGTCGCCCGCCGCGGCTCCCTGGGGGCCCGCGCGTCGCCCCTCCTTCCGTCGCCCGTCGTGGCGCCCCGAGGGCCTGCGCGTCGCCCCCTCTCGTCGCCCGTCGTGGCACCCTGGGGGCCCGTGCGTCGCCCCCGCTCCCGTCGTTCGTCGCGGCGCCCTGGGGGCCCGCGTGTCGCCCCCTTCCGTCGCCCGTCGTGGCGCCCTGGGGGCCCACGCGCCGCCCTGATCTTCGCCCGTCGCAGCGCCCCAGGGACCCGCGCCCCGCCCTGCTTTCCGCTCGCACGCCGCCCCAGCTGCTACCCGTCCCGCCCCACCTGCGTTTGGATCTTGGGGTGGCGGGTATGGGGGTGGCGGTTATGGGGGTGGCGGGTGTGTGAGCCGTCCCCTGCTCCTCCTCCTACTCCGTCTCCCACTGCTGCAACTGCCGCTGAGGGGGGTGGGTGTGTGGGAGCCGAGGGAGTGGCGCTAGGGGGGTGACATGGGAATGGAGCTAGGGTTGCAGCAAGGGGTGTGTGAACGGGAATTTTGGGACAATGTGGGAGGTCGAAGGGGGGTGGCCGCCGTGAAGCCAGCAGCTCCAGTCGCTCGTGAGACCGTTGCGCCAGTCGCCCGTAAGCCCGTTGCTCCAGTCGCCCGTGAGCCCGTTGCTCCAGTCGTCCATGAGTCAGTTTCCCCCGCCGCGCGTCTAGCCGCAGAGCCAGTTACTCGAGTTGCCCGTATGCCAGATACTCCAGTTGCCAGTGTGCCAGTTGCCCCAGTTGCCCGTGTGCTAGTTGCTCCAGTTGCGCCGTGTGCCAGCAGCTTCAGCTGCCGCCCACCACCTCCTCTCCTCTCACAGTCCCTCCTCCTCCTCACTTGCCCTCTATGACTGCCTCTAGCTTTGCTTGAACTTGTGAACCTGCTCTGTGACTACTTGCTGTGCTGATTCTACCCCACTTTGACTATGGGGGTGTGTCAGAATGTTATATCTCTCTAGTCTGTAGTGGGGTACTCTATAGTGAGTACAGCCCTGTAAGGGTTTGCTATATGTACTCAACTGCCTGCTAGTGAAACCCCCTCTTTTTGCCTACGGTATTCTCTCTTGCCTAGCTAGCTAAACCCTAGCTATGGCTCCTGCATTCTAGCTATGATTCTGACACGTTGAACGTCAGATCCTTTCGCGCTGGGATCGAACGCTTCAAGGAGCCTCGAGCGAGCTGCTTCGAGGTTCGGCGAAGGTGGTGCCATCGGTCCATGATGTGAGAATAAGCGAACAGGAATGAATGAACTAGCAGTGAAATGAGTACAAGTAGGAAACCCTAGAATTGTGTACCCCCTATAGGCTAACCCACTGTAGCCTACACAAGCAGAACATATATAATGTTTGACACACCCCCATAGGCAAAGTGGGGGAGAACAAGGGGTCACAAGACCAGTCAAGCAAAGCAAAGCAAGCTCAGGGTGGATCACAAAGTCACCACACAGTCCGAGCACAAGAGCAGGGCCAGAGGCCAGTTCACATGCAGGAGTACAGACATATATATAAAACTAGACAAGCAAGAGCAGGTATATATATATGTCACAGTACAAGTGAAGTCAAGAGGAGAGCAAGTGAGGCAAGACAGGCACAAGACCCAGCTGGGTGCAAAAGCGCTGATGGTCACAAGGCGCA